TGTTCTTCCTTCGACTCCCAAATCAAGGATTTGCAAATGACTGCTTTGGATGACAGAGCTGTCTATTTTCAATACTTTTATTTCTGAAAACTTGTAACTTGGGAGTGGGTGACCATTCCTGCAAAGAGCTCTTTTCAAGCTACCTGTGCCATTTTTCTAGTGTCCTGTTTTCTCTAATTTTTTTCTAAAATAGATAACACAATGATGTCGATTTAGAGGAAACATACTAAATTTCTAAAGTACTTTTAAAATACAACCGTCTTCTTATATTATTAATCATTAATTGTAATAGAAAATATAAAAAAATGTGATTAGACAAAATACTGCTGGTCACTTTGGAATTTAAACCCAATTTGATTAAGACATTATTTTAAGTAGAATTGAGGAAGTAAATTCCAGCCAGGTATAGTGGCACAGCACTGTAATCTCAACACGCTGGGACACTGAGGCAGGAGGATCAGAAGTTCAAACCCAGCCTAGGTACTGGGCAAATTAGTGATTTAGCAAGACCCAGTGCCAAAACTAAAAATTTAAAAAAAGGCTGGGGATGTAACTCACTGCACAAGCCTTCAGTTCAATTCCTATTACCTACACAAGCAAAATAGTAAATTTCAATGGTAGCATTACATAAATACAGATTGCATTATTCATTACAATGTCTAGAAAACTTCGGTCATAAGGTAAATGTGCATAGAAAGGAAAGAGGATAAACAGGATTAAGAGCTTTATCAAGCTTTCTAGGTCCACATTCAAATGAAATCTTAAAATGAGATAAAACTGTAAAACCCCTTCAGTAAATCAACAAAAACCAACAGCATCAACAGGTGAAATACAGACAGACAGAGCAAGAGGAGAAAGAAGGAGGGAGGAAAAATGGAAGAAAGGAAGGAAAGGAGGGAGGGAGGAAGAGCAGAAGTCAGTAGAAAAGACCCCCAGATAAATGCTTTATATTTTATAGTAAAAGTTAGTGCTGGCTAAAGAAATAAGTAACTCGCTAAACACACAATGTCTGGAACGACTAGGCGTTTGTCTGCGTCCAGCCTTAACCTCCGCAACGGAGGGGCTCTGGGGAGGCAGGTTCAGCCCCAGAACCCCAGCCTGGGGCTGCCCATCTACCCAGCTAGCCCAGCCGCAGAGCCCCGGCTCGGCTCTCGGGGTCACCCCAGGGCCGCCCCAAGGTGCGGCGGACTCAGGCCTGGCCCGGAAGAAGTCGCAGGGCCACACAGCGGGCCGGGACCACTCTGGGCTGGGGTCCCCACCCGGGGCCCACCCGCCGGTCCTGGACAGCCAGCGAGCCCCTCAGAAAGGCACGCACCTCCTAAAACACGGCTCCAGAACTGCTTCACCGTCTTCCACATCCTCAGTTTTTCGATGAAATCCTCATTTTTCACATGCAGTAGACAGGTCCGGGTTCCTGCACAGATGTGCGACTTCCCAACAGGGAGGAGTGGGAAAAATGATGCAGAATTCTTCAGACTGATAAGTTTGAAATCACGGGATTACAGAAGATCATAGTTAGTTTTAATATTGTAAAATATTACTTCCTTCGGGGACACAGAAAGACAGAGACCTTGTACTTTAGTAAGCCCAGAGCTTAGAGGCTGCCAAAGCCACACGGAGCGCAAATTCTAGCATTTGTGAGCTTGGCTGGATGCAGTGTTACGGTCCCTCATAATTTCCTTGCTACTCCGATCTCAATATACGTGCATATTTAATAGTTTTGGCCTGAACTTCTTTGCAATTCATAAAGCTATACTTTCCTGTTTAGTGTATTATTATTAAATGGCTTTTCATTCAAACCTTTTTTGTTGTTTTTGATATCAGGGTTATAAAAACCTAGCTGATAATCATATTTTCCAACATGGTAGGACAGATTAAAGGGGTCATTTCTGATTTTGAAAGCTACAGTAAAACTGATTCACTGAAATTCCTTGGACAAGGAACATGGGGAGAAATAAACCTGGCCATATCAAGTGGCTCTTTGATTGGAGATTTTTTTTAAACTGGTGGTTGGATTAAAAAGTGAAATACTATCTACTAAATGATTCAGATGATTCGGTGTTTGGTTTAGGAAAAGAAGTATTGATGTATTGTTATTTGTTTATTCATTAACTATTTCTTGACCACAGCTCTCAGGTAAAAAGCAGACCAGTAACCAACTTGGAGGAGCAAACTAAAGAACGAGCTGAAATCTTTAGATACTCTGAAATTACATAAGATCTAGCCTCAATATCATATGAACAGCATTTGGTTCATTAAAATGTTTGCAGTAATGGAGATATTTCTCAATTTAATATAACTGATGTTTTCTTATTTGGGAACTATTTCAAGAAATTAGAGAAATTAGAAAATGCATGTTTTGTTTCAAGTTTCTGGAAAAGAACCACTTGGATTTTTAGCATGAGCTTATCAAAACTCCCCCATTTTCATATGTTGCATAGCAGTTCATGCTATCATAGGTAGGGATAGCCCAGTGAAAAGGGAGGGTCCGTTCTTCATTTTAACTTTATTTTCAGGAAGTCTCTAAATGTCAGGCCATTTCTACATCACACTTACATACTAGCTTAAGAATAAAAGAGTGGATCAGGCACCAGATGTTTCCTTATGATAATGCCAAGCATCTAGATTCATTGAAATTTGTCATCTCACTTCTCACTAATTCCTGTAGGCTAGATGGAATTAGATAGAATCCTATTTTGCAGAGATATCAGATAGACCTAGGTTTATTTCATTATTTATTCCTGGATTTGGTTTTCGTTTTATATTCCTTCTAAGATATTTGCTTGCATTTAAAATAGTGAGAGAATTTACACAGGCCTTCCAAATGATATTTCTGTTCAAGGAGAGAGGCAAATGCAAAACTATATTTTCTTATGTTTATTTCTGGCCTTCTTTCCTTCTTCTAATTGTGCTGCTTTACTTTCTGTCTGTATTTCTCAAATTTCTCAAAATGAGAATAGAGCTAGAAATTGCATCAGATGAAAACTATAATTGATGAAAGAAAAGCTTGAAAATTTTTGAAATGTAAATAATATTTCTATAGTGTAGTAGTCTAATGAATTTATGAGTTTGCTCATGGATAAAATTGCTCATTTGAGTAAAGATAAAGTGATTAAATTAATGTTTTTTAAGGTTTGTCTTTGAAAATGGTATATTGAGTATTTTTTAGTTGATGAAATTAATATTTTCCATTCAATATTATACTATAATGTTAACAGAGCAGCTGGCTGGCTTATACAATGCCAATCAAAGAGCAGAACAGCTTTCCTGGTTTACAATCAGTTCATTAATCTGACTCATTACGTGGTTGATTATGCAGTTTACTCTATACAAGTTCATAATTTTATATCCTAGTTATAGTACCTTTACATTTTTTAAATTTTTCTTTTAAAAAGTATTTTCTTTAATGTTAAACACACCATCTGGGATTTTTCTACATACACTGAAAAAATATTGAACAAATGTTTCAACTATTCTTTTACTGAAAATTCAGTCCTATGGGTAACTAGTGGTTAGTTCACTGGTGGTGGGTTATTTAAACCTTTGCTAAATAGCTGTTACCAACTTGGAAACAATAAATGGAAGAAGGAAAAATTAAACCCCTTGCAAAACTTGATCCTGTCTCCCCTGTAGGAGAATATGCTGTTCTCAGTGGTTTCGCCAGAAAAGTCTACATTTTTCCAATTCACCTGGCTATATTAGTCAAAATTCCCCCACATTAAGAATCACTGTGATCTTGCAAATTTCCTTAAGAGAAGTGTAGCTATCTTAGGATCATGAAATGATTATAGCTCTTCCCTCAGTGGTTTGAACCCATTCAATGAGCTAGGAGACTTCTGACAGAAGAGGATGTGTTCATGGAGGGGAGGGATTCTAAGCAGTTCTGTAGTTTGGAACACGTCTGGATTTAGCAGAGAACAGAGAGGAATTCAGTGGTGAAGACTATGTAGGCTGAGACACCAGCTTGCAGAACCCCGAAGAAAGGAGACGTGAGGCTGTGACAAACCGATCACAAGAAAAGGGGCGCCACGGGGCTGCTCCTGGGCACAACTTAGGAGGAGGCACTTCCACCCCACTGCCTGAAGTGGCAAAGACTCAGTCACTGCAGAGTTCATGGGGAGTCAGAGCCAGAGCAAGACGCCCCAAGCTCCCTCTCCCAGGTAGAAGACAGAAATCAACAGTGTCAGAAACTTGCTAGAAAAACTTCTCTTCCACAAAATATGAGGAAGCAGTCTTTCCCTTCCTTCTGTTTGGGTGAAAATTTCCTCCCAAATCTCCTTCAAATCTAGATCCCTGCCGACATGAGTACTGCACCACCACTACCTGATTGGAAGCAAATCTTGGGTTTCTAGGGGAAAGGAATATCGTTTCATAATCCAAAAATCAAACTTACAAAATTTTTGAAACCAGTCTGAACCATGAACTATGAAATGCCTAAGGGAAACAAAATAGCTTTAATTTTCAAAATCTCTGAGAGATGTTGGCAGAGCCCCATACAGATCAGCACGGAATGGTCATCATTTCTGGAAAGTACCTGTTTGTTTTGAATCTTCACCTCTGAGGAGAAAACAAAAAAACAGATGATTAGTTATTAATATGGAAAATAATTAAGCAGTTTCTTTTATTCTTCTACTCTTAGGTACCAAAGATTCCCTAAACTCTTTTCTCAGTGAAATAGCCCAAATTATTATTTATTCCCATATCACAAGTGTAGTACCAGACACAAAATCATGTTACTAGAATAGTTTTGTACCATTTAACTCAGTCTGAATAATTCCATAGATTTTCCCTGGTAGTGATTGGGTCTTGCTTTAGTGGTTTAATGGCCAATAAACAAGACTTTCAGTGCTCACTACTGGTTAAGGAAGCGAAGAGGAAGGACGGGCTGAGAAGCAGAGCTCTTGGCAAAGCTGCTCTAAGCATGGATTAGGAAAGCGTGTAATTGCGCGGGGACAGGGAGCCTCTCTGACTGTGCTGTTGACTCTCCCCACACCATGCAGCAAAGCCCAGCAACCCACGGCCTGCAGATGGCGCGGCATCCACCGGCTCCTCGGCCAGCAGCTTTGGCAGCGGCTACAGTGTGGACAGCGAAGGCAGCGGCCCCGCCGGGGACACCAGCCTGTTCCCGGTGCCGAGGATGTAAGTGGGTCTTTCTGTCTCTGCAAGGTTAGCAGCACCCGAGTGAGATGTTCCTCACGCTGCACAGCAGACCAGTAGACAGCTACACAGCTGAGTCCCTGGGTCTGCTGAGGCCGGCACAGAGCGCATCCCTCAGGAAAGGCTGAGTGAGTCCGGCTGACTCTGAGGATCCGGCAGTCTCACTGGCACATCTGTATTTATGTGAGAACTGCTAAGCACGCAGCCAGGCCTGCCTGAAGCTCGGTGGCGGTGCCGTGCTGCTTTGGTCACAACGAGCAAACCAGACACTGCTGGTTTTGGCAATGGAGATAGATTCATTTGCCCTGAGTCGGGAGCAATTGAAAGACATTCCCAGAACCCACGTCATCTTTAAAACAGACGCTGCACCACGCCAGTCATACAGACCTTGCAACTGCCAATTTCTCTACATTTGAGATGAAGATGTTGAAGTGCTTTCATATGTTCTAGAACAAATGCCAAGTATTCCAGGTCCCTGGGTGGGTGCTCCCGAAATAAAACCCATTCATGATATGCTAGAGCTCAAGAATATCATCTAGCAAAGAAAAAGAAAAACTGAAACAGATTGTGTTTAGAATGTGTTAGAATAGGTATAGTCATACTGGTGGCAAAATTTAGCCACATTCAAGATAACTATGTAGATCAGGTCTGCTCCAGTATCACGATCTAAACCTCCAGATCTTTCCTTCTCCTCCCTGTTAGAGAGTCTTGTAGAATGGGAACATCACGGGCATACCAGGTCCCAGGATCTAGACCTGCACAAATGCAGCCTGCTGCCTGGTTTTGTAAGGCTTGTGAGCTAAGGAGAGATTTTTATGTTAAAATATTTTTTACACATGAATAAACAAGGCTATTTTGTGATATGCAGATTACAGGAAATAGACATTCAGCAACTTTAGCTGAGCTGCGAAGGGCCGCATGGCCCGCTGGTTTGTGCGTGGCTGGCTGCGGCTTCCGGTGTGCAGAGGGCTGGGTGGCAGGGCTGGAGAGGCACCGCCATGAAGAGGTCAGGCGGTGACAGAGGGGCCTCCTCCTTCTCCGGAGCTGGGTGAAATCTGCCCACGGAGCAGAACTGCTCCTGTTTTAATAAAGCTTTCATAAGCACTCAACATAAATAGTTGAAGCTTTTACAAATATTTCCTTTGGTCACCGAAATAGTATCAATAGCTAACGATTCAGGTCATAAAGGTAAAATAAGAAAGAAAATCAATTTTTACATTGTATAGGTTGTAGCTTTCAAGTTACATTTTTTTCAACTTAAATTAAGCAAATTATTATTTTATCAGCTGTCCATCTGAGGATATTTTTGTATTTTTTTTTTCTGAGGCTTGGGCCATGGACTTCAGAAGAATTTTCATACCTATCAGCTCTATATTATTGGATATAATCCTAAAACTAATTGGATCTCATTAGTCTTTGGCCTCTGATGATCCAGTGTGAGAATTCCAGCAAATCTATTTCATTTCTCTCTAAGCTGTGAATATCACATGAGTTTATAAAGGCTTTGCACTGCACATAAATTTATATCCTTCCAATTTGTCTGTATCTTTCAGAATATATAATTTAACACTGATGATAAAGTTATAACTTCCACCAAGCTAATTATGTTATTTTCTCAATATCTGAATATCTGAGGTAAGATTATATGATTTTTACATACAGAACAGGTAACATTTTGGTTTTTTTCCCTTTTCCTATTTCTCTTATAAATCAAACCTCTTTAAATTGCCTAGAAGATTTTTGTCTTGCCATATAAGCAAAACGAAAATTCACTTTCTTGAAGCATTATATGATACATGTAAGAAATGGGATTTATTCTTCTTTTGTATATGCCCCAATGGTTGTGTCTAACACACTGTTGCTTGGGCTAGTGTAATTACTCAATAAATATTTGGTGATTTATTAAACTATAAATTATGAAATGTGCCATCAGAATGTTCTCTGTTGAAGATTATGAAGAATTCAGGAAAGCTGCATTCTTTATAGAACCCAGAGTTTTGTTTCCTTGGTACCCTATTTAGCTACCCTGTGCTGCAAGTTTTTGTGAAGTCTACAAAATGGACCTTGCATTTTGTCTAAGTATCTAATGTTTAATTCAATTTTCTTTAGAACCAAAGACAGTGGGCAGAAATCATTAAAATATGAAATCTAGGACTAAAAATTCCAAAATTTTTCAAAAATTTATTTTTATTACAAATACTAAAAATTAAAACTTTAAAAAGGTTTAAAAAGTTCCTTGCAGTCAATTGAGTTTGGCTCAGCAATATGTTTTTTTTAACTTAGCTTCTTGAATCTCAATGAAGCAATTACACAAATTGAAGTTTTGCGCATTGATCAAACAGGACAATATAATCTGAAGCAGATCACATATACATGCACACAAAATGTGAGAAGTTAATAATTGCGTGAAATTAGCCCTTTCATGATCGCTTAATCAAAATTGTGCTTAAATCTTTGACCTTGAGTTGTCCTAATGGAACAATGCGATAGTTTTCAAGTTAAAATGATTTCTAAATTTGCATCTGTTCCTCTTATTATGTACAGGAACATTTTGGCATCTGCTCTGGAGTAGAATGATAACACCGTGTTTAGAGCAGTTTTCAAATAAGGTCTAATTGCATCTTAAGAAATAAAAGTAGTTACCTTTCTAGCACGTCCAGCAAACCAATAGGTTCTGTGAAAGCCAGAATTAGTTGTTAGTGAATCTTGCTGTGTTAGAATTATTCTCTGGAAAGAACAGCATCAGGATGTTTCCTGTTCCACCATCCTTCTTAGCATTTAAGGGTTTTTATTCCATTTTAAAGGGTGTCTTATCCAAGTACCTAAACTGGCAATTCAAACCCGGCACATGACTTGCCAGTTGGTTCTCTCGTAATCCCGAGGTAAGTGATGCTGCTGCCGTCCGCGCGGTAACAGCAGACGCGCTGGGCACGGGCCCCAGCTGACACACGACAGGGAGTCGCAGTGCCAATGCCAGACGCTGACCCCTGCAGTCAGCCTGAAAGCTGCTTAGCTTCACATAGCTGAAGACAGGGAGAATTCAAAGCTATCACAAGTGAGGTTTAAAAGTCTATGTTATGATGATATTGTAGGTAAATATGTAGTTTTTACTTTTAATTAACACATAAAACCACCATATTTATGGGCTGCCATGTGACGTTTTGATACCTGTATACACTGTCTAGTGTTTGAGTCCAGGTAAACGTATCTGGTAAGCAAATCTCAAACAGTTTTCATTCTCTTGTGATGAAACATTCAAAATACCTTCTCTCTAGAATGAGATACACAGTACCCTGTTCTTATCTATTGTCACCCTATTGTGCCTCTCCTGTCTAACAGTGACCTGTGCCCCCTGGTCAGCTTGCCCAGCCCCCTGGCCCCTCAGTCTCTATGTGATCATCATGTTAGATCCATGGACAAGTGAGAGCCTGCCGTCGGGCTCATTTCACTCACGTTTATTAATTCCATCAGTGTTTTCACAAATGACAGGATCTCACCCATTTTATGAGTGAACAATACCCCATTGTGTATATGGCCCACCTTTTCTTTCTCCATCCATCAGCTGATGGACGTTAAGTGTGATGCTGCTATTTCTTGGCTGTGGTGAATAGCGGTACAGTAAACACAGGGGTGCAACATCTCCAACAGAGTGACCTCCATAGCCTGGAGTGGAATGACGGGATTGTGCAGCGCTTCTGCTGCTGATTTTCCAGGAAGCTCTGTATTGTTTCCCACAATGGCCCACAGGAATGGCTCCATTCCCACCCAAGTGGGTCAGGGTTCTCCCTCCTCCATGTCCTCAGGACATGCCAAGCCACTCTTACTGGACGGAGGTGTGCTTCATGGTGGTTTTAATTTCCATTTCTTTGGTGATTAGTGATGTTGAACATTGTTGTGTATATCTGTTTGGACCTTTTCTTTGGGGAAGTAACTTTTTTGGGTTTCAATATTATTTTCATGTGTCATTTAATTCACTATTTTCCCTTCTCACCACAGACTCTCTAGAAGTTCATTTTTAAACATTATAAAGATATAAAAACTCCTGATTCAGTTAAAAAGGGAAAAGACAATAATAACTTTTGAGATGAGGAATAGGTTTTAGGTTTGATCCTGTGTGGACATTGCCCTATATGTACATGTACCAAAGTGTCCATTAATGTGAGCACTTTTATGTCTGTATGTGCCCACTAAAGAATTTTTTAATGGGAAAAAAATTGCTTCAGAAGTTGGAAAATTTCATGATAGTGTGATTGAATGACAAATGATTCTTCTACAAATAAAATTTATGGACTTTTAGGTATTATGTTTGGACTGAATAAAACTGATCAACGAGTTTCCATTTTAAAACTGACATGATAAAAAGCAATTAACTGAGTGTGTATTTGCCATTCAAATAATTCGTTGCAGGTCTGAATATATAGTGCCCTTTTATTTTTACCAACCTAATCTCCTGATTTGCATGCAGGGAATGATAATTCAATGGATTTTTCTTTTTTAAAACAGAGGGAAGTTGGGGCAGAATGGACAGGAGCCCATAAAGCAGCCGGCAGGAGGAGTAGGACTGGTGGACTCAGAAGGTGAGTAGCATTTACAGTCCTGGGTTCACACTGAATCACACTCTACAGTATCAGTTCTTCGTTTTTAAATATGTAAGGACTAATGGCAAAAGCACTAGTTAGTAAATCATCATTATCTATTAAATAAGAATAACCTTGTGTTCATTTCATAATTTCCAACTTTCTTCCTTTATTTTAAAAATTTAAATACCTTGGGGCACTGAAAATTTAAAAGAAAGAAAGAGAAGGATGACAGGAGAAAGACTCAAGACTTTCTCAGGGGAAATATGTATCTTCTTGAAATTAAAAAAAGTGTTTTCCTTAAGATACCTTGCAAATAGAAAATCAGTCTTAAAACCTCACTTCAAGCATGGAGATCCTTAAACATGTGAAACAGAATAAATAAATGGTGTAAAATCATCCAATAAAAATCAATTACTGAACAAACTTCTAAAGTGAAAGTCACATTTGAAATTAAATAATTTGGTTTGATTAAACAAATAAATTCTTGCAAAATATGCAAAATCAATCTTTAACTTTAGCAAAGACATGAGACTACCTATGGGCAGTGTAAGGACTAGCTTATCTTTCATAACACTGTGATAAAATCTGTCAATTTTATCCTTCATGAATCGTGACAATCCTCAGAAATGTTAATTAGCCTGACTGCATTTCATATACTATCTCATTTGAGTCTTAGAATTGTCCATAAGGTAAATAATAGCATAGAGGGGATCTGTATGAATGGAAAACAATGTGCAAACTGCACACAAGGTCAGGACAAGTACGTTGAACGCAGGAAAACGGTTCCAAACACCACACGCTGAGGAAGAAAGGTCCCAGGCAAGTGGGCAAGGTCATCAGAGGGCAAAGGGGAGACCTGGGTGTCAATGCAGTCTGTTACCCAGTAAGACAGTTGACTTGCATCTTCAGAAACCTTATCTGATAAACGCACATTCTAAATGGTGCTGGATCCCTGGACGTAGGTCATACCACATCTCTCTGGTTGGGTTTTCCTTTCTGTGGATTTGTTCTCTGTTTGGGCTCCTGCCCATTGCCATGGTCCCCAGAATTGCACACCAAGTCCACCAAGCCTTTTACCTGCCTGTCAGTTTGCCTGGCTGTAGCTTAGTCCCCAGCCTACTGCCCTGACCCCCTGGGATTCAGAGTCAGCCACTTAACTGTCTGGAATTCACACTGAGCCAGGCGCTTGTGCCCAGCGGGAAGGCAGCACCGCTGTGAAGGAAGGTAGGAGGATGGGTAGCTGGAAGGCGAGTGCACAGAGTAGGATAGTGAGGCAGCAGGAGGAGCCACTGTCCGTCTGCACATGAGGACAGCGAGGAGCAGGCCCAGGAGGAGGCCGCATGGAGGCCCCTGTCCATCCACACTCTGCAGTCTCTGTGGCTCTGACCAAACCCAGCCAGTGGTCATCTGGGGAGCTGGGACCCAGGTGAGGAGCTCCGCCTGGAAGGGAGCTGGAGAGGGATGCAGCAGCCCGGCTGGGAGCATCATCACAGGGCTCCCCAGGCCCTCCGAGCCCCAGCTCCACATGGCCCAGCCCACCTCTCCCGAGAGCGAGCTTGCGTGCTTCTCCTTCTGCACTCTCAGCGCTCCTCTGTGTTTGCCAACATTTTCACATTTTACTTCTGACTTGGATTTAAGTTGCCTGTTTTGTGCTTGCCTCCTCCATAAGACCGAACAACCCGCAGGCAGGACCCGCGGTTCCTCATCCTGCTTCTCAGCACTCAGCCGCAGCCCGGCCCAAGCTGCTGAAAGAATTGGTGCAGAGTGAATGAAGACCTACTATGACTGTCTGCAGAAGTAATAGCTATTGATGCAGATGTGACTCCAGAACTCTGGCAAAGAGAAGAGGCTTTAAGCTTCTTAGCTACTTAATTCTACCTTTGTCTAACCTTAAACTTTCAAGTAAAATTTAAATGTTAGCAGCTGTCAGTGACTAGAACTGTTCAGCCTGGTGCTTTCTTCTTTCCAGTCAGTCCCACAAAAGCATGCTTGGTTTCCAAGAAGGAGCGACTCACAGGCTACTGCACTGTTATTAAATCTCCTGAATCCATATGCCTTTCCCTTAGAGAACCCACCCTGACCAATAGCTGATCTCAGGTGAGTTGTGGAGCAGAGAACCGGAAGAGCGTGGGAACAGAATGACTTACAGGGCAGCGTGAGCCCCTTCTAGTCACCTGTCCCATTAGCAACAATATTTTGGACAAGTAGTTTTGACTTAGTCGCCACTGACATTGGACAACAAGCAAATATCCAGTTTTCCTATCTACATGAATGTGGGTTCTAAGAGGTATATAAAAGATAGCTAATAATACAGAGAGGAAAACTGCAATAAATATTAAACCTTTAGAAAAGCAGCCTTAAATTAGGAAGGCTACGTACACAGAGTAGTGACAAAACTATTCAAAGTGTTTATTCCAAGTAGGTAGGAGGCATCAGTTTAAACGGCATGATTTTTTGGGCCCTGTAGAAATGTGGAATCAACCCTGTGTCGTACTTAAGGTGTGTGCATGACCTGTACCTTGTTTGCACGACTCAGGGACTTGCTTTCTCTTCTTTCTGTCGCTAGTCACAAGAACAGCCAGTTCAGGGGGGAAATACCGGAATCAGTGCAGCTTGCTTAGAGACAAAACGTGTAGTTTGCTGATTGTACTTTTACTCATTTCAATTCCGGACCCCAAAAATGTATTTCTATAAATAATCCCATTTTTCTTTTTTCTTTATTCATTTTTACATTTTTTAAAATTTCATTTCATTGGTACAATTTGGATGTACATGATGACCACATGCATCATGGGGAATTCATACCTGTACATGATGTGTCTTGCTTCTTTTTGTTTTTCCCATTCCCCTCCCCTCCCTTCAATCCCTCTTCCCCTCCTTGTTTTAAAAGCTTTGTTTGCATTTTTTTTCTTATCCCTTCTTTTCTTCTCCCCTCCCCCTCCCTCATTCCCTTTCTCATTTGAACATTTTCTTCCCATTTCCCAGTATCTTTTATACATTTTGCTCCTTATTTCCACTTTCGATTTCTTACCCTAGAGAAACAATGAAGTATTTCCATGCATGTCCGATTTATTTCACTTAAAATTATGGCCTCCAGGTGCATCCATTTAGCTATAAATATCTCAAGCTTATCTTTCTTTATGGCAGAGTAATACTTCATTGTATATATAAAATAAACACATCTTTATCCTTTCATTGGTTGATGGGCACTTGGGCTGTTTCCAAGTTTTAGCTATTACAAACTGTGCCACCATAAACATGGGTGCACATATATCGCTGTGGTATGATGCTTTTACGTCGTTTGGGAAGATATCCAGCAGGGGAATAGCTGGGTAGAATGGAACCTCTACTTTTAGTTCTTTGAGGTATCTCTGCACTGATTTCCACAGTGGTTGCACCAGTCTGCACTCCCACCAGCAGTGGAGCAGGGTTCCTCTTTCCCCACAGCCCCGCCAGCATTTGTTATTGGTTGATTTCCTGATAGCAGCCATTCTTTTTGGAGTGAGGTGGAATCTCAGTGTTGTATTCATTTGCATCTCTGGAATGATCATATAAATAATCACATTTTTCTTAAAACAGAAAATCCTTTCAATGATCTACGTCAACTTGAGTGTTTCATGCTATTCACTTACACCTTTGTTTCATGGATGCACTGGCTCATTGGAAAGGGTATGATTTACAGAGATTTGCCCAAGAAAGCATACTTCAGTGCACATCAGAGGCATCTCACATACATGCACCAAAACATGCCACAGATTTACAGTTTGTTTTCTCAAATTTTTATTTCTATTTTGGCATTACACTGTACAGACTGCAAAAAGCAATGTTTTGTGGGGTTGAGATTTTCTGTTCAGCCTGTTACTAAAGCTTTCTTTAAATGCTAAATAGCCATGTCCTCATTCTACTTAAGTCTATTTATTCTGGCTTCTGGTAAAAAAAACCAATTTACCATTTAGTTTTTCTCTCTACTAATGTTTCCACTGCCTTACATCAGTGACTCAGAAATTTCAGTCTCAGCATGAGATTAATTCAATGGGTCAAAATGGGAAATCTATTAAAGATTTGGGGTCTGAGTTGTAGTAGAAAATAGTAATTTGGGGCCTGTATGTACTGAGAAACAGTTAAATTTCCATGACTTCAATATGTGACTAATGTAAGTGCAAATAAGCATGGTGTTTGACACATGGTTAACACCTGTAAATTGTTGTGATGATTAAATGAGGAGTGAAAGTGAGAGAGCTTGGATTGGATCCCTAGGTGACGTCACTCAGAACTGCTGAAGTATCGTGTGCTTATTGAGAGAGCTAAAGAAGATTGCTTCTCTTAAAGATTTAGATCAAACCAATTACACTTCCCAATTGTACAGAGAAGCTTTCCCCCAATTTACATTAAAAACTCCCAATTACACCCTTAAGACAAGGTATCTAGTCCTTCCTCTTCTTTCACTTATTAGCTGATGCACTGTATTTCCTAGGCTCATTCTTTGCTAGTAGTCATCCGCCTAGTAGCTGCCTTGATACATTACTGTGCTAACCACCCTCAGCCAGCATTACAATCACAACTTGCTACAAGATTTAATTTTCTTCACTTTATGCATTTAAAAAAAATCAGCCCAATAAATCATGTATTTTCTTAAACACTTTGGTAGCCTGGACTTAGCTTCATTGAGAATGAAAATTCAGTTTAATCCTCAGTGGGCCTGAATAAATATGCTGCTTCCATTGTAGAAATACACTAAGCTGTCTGCTCAGACTTTTCTGATAACCAAGTGAGTAAAATTATGTTGTTATGAACATTTAACACAGGAGTGTGGGAGAACAGAGTACAAGATTCAATCCAGTACCTTACTAAAATGGTTTTTAAAGCATGACAAGTTATACATAGCCTAGGAAAATCTGTGATGACCACAACATTCTTGTTTAACCTGAAATTTCAATGTTGGACCTAGACACATATTTTTAAATATTTCACAGTCTACAGTGATTCGTATGCTCATG